CAGTGAGATCAGGGTAAAAGCACAGCACAGTACAGTGCAGTAAAGCTCAGTGAGAACAGAGTGAAAACACAGTACAGTGCAGTACGGCCCAGTGAGATCAGGGTGAAAACACAGAGCGATCTGCTAAGTTTCACCTTGATGTTCACCGTTCACCCTTAGGATCCCAACAGCTAGTGAAACATCCTACACCCCCCCCATCAGGTCTCGGCCCATGAGCTCCAGCCCTCGGGCGGGAGAGCAGGAATGAGGAACGGGCGGGGAAAGAGCTCTCCCTCTGTCCTTCTCCCTCCCTCGCCCTCGGAGTCCTGTCATTTGCCGATGTCGCCGGAGAACAATGGAGGAGAGCACAGTGTGCCCGGTGTTGTCCCGCTCAATAGCGCGATTCTTCCTCTCCCTCTCCCGCTCGGCCTCGCTGGGATCGCTCGGGACAATGCCCTCCATTCTCCCTGCCTCCTTCTCTCCTCTCCTACTCCTCTCTGCTCATTCCAGAAATGTAGATACAGCTGCAACAAGTGGTTCTGATAACAGCCTTACAAACTCCTCTTCAACCATTTCTGGTCTGTTTGGCCTTTAACAGTTAATTGATCCATAGATCTGATCCAGCTTGAAGTCAGGATATTGGCTTCAACAACAGCTTGTTCACGCCCCCACCACCCTTTGTGTAAAGAAGAGCCTCCTGTCCTGACTGGAGTATCTCATCCAACTGCTCCTCAAGAGAAGCCAGGGTATCAGTATCAACAACACGACTGGGCAGCCTGTTCCACACTTCCACCACCTTCTGAGTAAAGTCGTGCCTCCTGTCCTCTGCACCTCCCTGTAGTTTCTATCTGTGCCCACTGACTCATCTCTTTCACTCTTCATTCTCAAGAAATCCTCAGACCTGACTTCGTCACTGCCTTTGAGGACTCTGAACATGTGTTACAGGTGCCCGTGTAGTCACTCTACAAGATTAAAGACACTCAGTTCCTTCAGCCTGCCAGAGTGGGATACTCCCTTCAGACTAAAGAGACTCAGTTCCTTCAGCCTGTCAGTATGGGACCCTCCCTTCAGACTAAAGAGATTCAGTTCCCCCAGCCTGGCAGTGTGGGACCCTCCCTTCACACTAAAGAGACTAAAGAGACTCAGTTCCCTGAGTTCAAGCGAAGGGTTCCAGAGCAGCGATTTATTTTCTGTAACACAGTGAACACAATTTTTACACCACTGAGATCTATTCAATTTCACATCCCTCGCGTCCTACTCTTGTGACCCTGTAGTGTTTGTTTGCCTTGTTTATAGCTTTATTGACTTCTTATTGTCTTTATTATAATCAACATCTGCCTGTGCTGGATACCCCTTTATCACAACTCTCACTCCATAGGTCTGGAACGGTTCAGGACCAGCCTGAACCATACAGTATCAAAGACTCTGTCTTTCCACCCTTCCATTTTCTAACCTCTTCTTTCAATAGAGTCCCAGGGGAGCCGGAGTCTATCCCAGCATGCAGTGGGTACAAGGCCCCTGGATGGGACAACCCAACTCATCGCTGGGCACACACCCAGACACTCCTCACACCAGGGCTCGTTTTCCCCAGAAACCCGCCAGCCTGTCTTCGGACTGGAGGAAACCCACGTGATCGCAGAAAGAACACGCAAACTCCACACAGACTGCACCCCAGGGCCGGAATCGAACCCGGAGCCCCGGCGGCCGCCAGGTGGCCGTGCTGCCTGATCCGGAGACTCTCTAGCTTCTATTCCAGAACAGGAATATAACATTTTTTTTTCGGGGGGGAGATATACAGCTTGCAGCACTCAGATCGGTCTGTGGGCCTGCGTCCATCTTGGTATTACTGCCCAGGTGCCAGAGGCCTTTCAGGATAGGGCGTGCGGTGTGGGGGAGGGGATATTTAATATTTCCCTCCCTCCGTGGGTAGAAATTGCTTCATTTTGTATTATTTATTTATTGTCTCTCTCTCTCTCTGCCCTGGAGCCTGCTGCTGTGCTCTCTGCCCTCCCCCTCCCAGCCCCACACACACACTGTCCCTCCGGCAGCGATGTCACAGACAGCCCTGCGCAGCCCAGACCTGACAGCTACAGCAGTGGGGGGGGGAGGAGGAGGAGGAGGAGGAGGAAGAGGAGGAGGGAGGACGGGGGGAGGAGGAGAAGCCGCTCATTGTTCCTCCCGTCACGCGAGGGAAGGGGGTGGGAGCGAGGGAGAGGAGGGAGACCGGCAGCGATGAAGAGGAGGGCGTGTGCGTGTGTGGTGGTGGTGGTGGGGGAGGGTTCATGCTCTCACACTGTTCCACCCAGCAGGAGAGCAGAAGGGGGGAGTTCTGTCAAGGGTTCAAGGCTCAGAGCGGGTTACTGTAGCATTCGGCGGGCTGGGAGGGCAGGACTCAGCTAAACTAAAGAGACTCAGCTCCTTCAGTCTTTCAGTGTGGGACACGCCCTTCTGACTAAAGAGACTCAGCTCCTTCAGTCTTTCAGTGCGGGACACGCCCTTCTGACTAAAGAGCCTCAGTTCCTTCAGCCTGTCAGTGTGGGACCCTCCTTTCAGACTAAAGAGACTCAGTTCCTTCAGTCTTTCAGTCTGGGACCCTCCCTTCAGACTAAAGAGTTCCTTCAGTCTTTCAGTGCGGGACACTCCCTTCTGACTAAAGAGACTCAGCTCCTTCAGTCTTTCAGTGCGGGACACGCCCTTCTGACTAAAGAGCCTCAGTTCCCCAGCCTGTCAGTGTGGGACACACCCTTCAGACTAAAGAGACTCAGTTCCTTCAGCCTGTCAGTGTGGGACACTCCCTTCTGACTCAAGAGACTCAGTTCCTTCAGCCTGTCAGTGTGGGACACTCCCTTCAGACTAAAGAGACTCAGCTCCTTCAGTCTATCAGTGTGGGACACTCCCTTCAGACTAAAGAGACTCAGTTCCCCCAGCCTGTCAGTGTGGTACACTCCCTTCAGACTAAAGAGACTCAGTTCCCCCAGCCTGTCAGTGTGGGACACTCCCTTCAGACTAAAGAGACTCAGTTCCCCCAGCCTGTCAGTGTGGTACACTCCCTTCAGACTAAAGAGACTCAGTTCCTTCAGTCTTTCAGTGTGGGACCCTCCCTTCAGCCCTGGAAGGCATCTGTTTGCTCTTATTTGGATGGAGTCCAGAGCAGCAATATTTTTCTTGTAACACGGTGTCCAATAATTCCCACCACATTCTGCCTTATGTCTCACTTATGAACTGCACTGCTTTAACACAACATCCCTTTGAACTGGTTTAATTTTGATAATTGTGACAATGTGTTTCACACACTCCTTGGTTTTTTAATTGTTTACCCACATAATCTGAGCAATATAAACAATTTGGCTATATACAGTGCCTTGCGAAAGTATTCGGCCCCCTTGAACTTTTCAACCTTTTGCCACATTTCAGGCTTCAAACATGAAGATATACATTTTTTATTTTATGTGAAGAATCACCAACAAGTGGGACACAATTGTGAAGTGGAACGAAATCTATTGGATTTTTGAAACTTTTTTAACTAAT